GACAGACATATGCAGAATAGATAAACAAGATTACACTGTACAGCACAGGGAAATATATACAAGATCTTGTGGTAGCTCACAGTGAAAAAATGTGACAATGAATATACGTATGTTCATGTATAACTGAAAAATTATGCTCTACACTGGAATTTGACACAACATTGTAAAATGACTATTAACTCAATACAAAAAACGTTAAAAAAAATAAGATTTAGGAATTGTTCTGTTTTTCCTTCCTCCCTCATCCCCTCTCTACTTCTCTTCATCTTTGTCTTTTTTTTTTTTGATATGAAAAAGTACACAACCAAGATGTTTTCTTCTTTGCTCTGGCTCATTTACCATAATGAACTGCCTTATTTCCTCCCCCTCTCGACTGACACTCCATCACACACAGACAAAAAAACATTCAACATGCACATGACACATTTACCCACGCACACCCCAAGGCATTTTTGGAAAGATATCATATATGAGGTAGAAGCTGGGATACCCAGGTGTAAAGGATGCCACAGTCATCCTCCCTGCCAGCAACCTGTACCTCCAACTGAACACGTGAGCTTGTCAGTGAGGACCCCCAGTCAATCCTTCATGCGTCTACTTGAGTTTCTGGTTCATGCTGCTACCCTCAGCAGTGGTGCCTGAGTACATCCTTGATGGATGGATTGTGGCTCACCTTCCAACCATCACCCCAACCCCTCATCATGGCAGCTCTGAAGGAAGAGCCTGGGACCCTTCTGCGGCTGAGCTCTTTCTGGGCCCCATTACAGACACCTAGTCCATCATGAGTGGACAGTAACCACGGCCCTTTCTGGTGCTGCCATTTCCCTGTTTGTCAAATGGGAGAGAGAGAAACTTCAGTCTTCATTCCCTGACAGCACACCATTCTCCAAGCTCATGGGACAGTGACCTGCAAAGGTTAGTCCGGCTTCTCATAGGCAGGCATTGCACATACATCATAAGATGGTTTTCACAAGATCCCAGCTCACACAGCCCGGGGGGTTCCATCAGCAAGTCCTTCCCCCTGTGAAGCAGGCAGAGGCCGCCAGCAACTGCCCGGGAGCTTTGACTTTCAAGCAGAGTGCTTTGCTCTTAACATCAAAGTCCCTTCCTTTGTCGTCTTCATTTACAGAAACTCTTTTAACTACGTTTTAAGGCAGTATTTCTCAACATACGGTTTATAGACCACTTCTATCAGAAGGGTGTGGGGCAGGTGTTAAAAAGCAGATTCCGAGGTCCTGGCTCTGACCTCCTGCATCCAAATATCCAGGAACGGGACCCAGAAATTATCATCTCAGCTTCGCTAGAGATAATGCTCATCACATGCTGTGCTCTGCAGCCTGGTGTGCCTCCCACGCCTCTGCGCTCCGTCCGCAGCGACTCCAGCCCATCCTGGTGTCCCTCCTCCTCTCTCAGCTTTCCGGTGTTTGCACCTTGTGAGCACAGATTCGGATCTAATGACACGACTTTCTCTAACACTAGCCATCTGATGCGGGATGTCTCCTCAAGCATCACACTCTCAAAATAATTAAGGTCTCCGTTCTTGCGCACAGCAAATGCACTGATCTGTGTTATCACGTAGATCTGAGACACAGAATGAACTAAACTGTGGCTTCAGAGGAAACTCAGGAGCCTTGGCTGGATGTTCAATCTGCTACAGTCACTGGCGCGTGGGTGGAGAACGCGAAGTCAGGGCTCAAAAAGCTGCGGAAATTAATTCCAACAGGCGGGAGCCAAGCAACAGGAAACAGCAAGTGCACACAGACTTTTACCAGAGGGAACTGAGCACTGAGGGAAGGGAGAGGGTAGACTGAACCTGAGGACTGAACCGGGGCCCCTCAGGGCGCCCTGATTTTGTGGAAGGAGGAAGAACCCAACCTGGTTTATAGGATCACTGCTCAAATGAGCTTTATTAGAAACCAAGTGGAAATATACCCTGCAAAGTTACAATCACCTGCCTTTAGAATGGGTTTAGTTTCTCCCTGAAAAACTTTTTTCTTTAATTGAAGTATAATTGATTTACAATGTTGAGTTAGTTTCTGGTATACAGCATAGTGATTCAGATTATATATATATATATATAACATATATATATTCTTTTTTTATTTTTTATTATAGCTTATTAGAAGATATTGAATGTACCTGTGCTTTACAGTAGGACCTTGTTGTTTATCTCTTTTATATACAGTAGTGTGTATCTTCTAATCCCAAACTCCTACTTTATCCCTCCCCACCCACTTTCCTCCTTGGTAACTGTAAGTTTGATTTCTATGTCTGTGAGTCTGCTTCTGTTTTGTGAATAAGTTCATTTGTGTCATATTTTAGATTCCACATGTAAGTGATATTACATATTTGTCTTTCTCTGTCTGACTTACTTCACTTAGTATGATCATCTCTAGGTCCATCCATGTTGCTGCAAATGGCATCGTTTCATTCCTTTTTATGACTAAGTAATATTCCATGTGTGTGTGTGTGTGTGTGTGTGTGTGTGTGTGTGTATACTATATACACACATATATATATATATACTACATCTCCTTTATTCAGTCATCTGTTGATGGACATTTACATTTAGGTTGCTTCCATGTCTTGGCTATTGTAAATAGTGTTGCTATGAACACTGGGGAGCAGGTATCTTTTAGAATTTCTCTGGATATATGCCCAGGAGTAGGATTGTTGGATCATACCATAACTCTATGTTTCATTTTTGAAGGAATCTCCATACTGCTGAAAAACTAACTTTTTAAGGGAACACTGCCATCAGAGAAAGTCTCTATAAAGAGCCAACACACCAAGTCATCAGCAAGGATTTAAGTTCAGCCAGAGGCTTGGGGAAAAAATTAAAAATCAGTATGAAGGTGTTAAGAGGGATTAAAATGTTTCAGCAGAGTAGACTGTCTGGCCAAGTCTATAATCAGACTTCTGAAACATTTTGCACCAGCCATGTAGTAAAAGGACTGTCTGCATTGGTTTAAAAAAAAAGGATGAAAACAAAAACTGCCCTAGCTCTACCACCAAGCAGCATGCCCACGTGCACTGGAACCCACCCTCAAGGCCTGCCCTGCTTCCCCAGCCACGTGGCCACAGCGGCCTGTGTTCCATCCCTCTGAGCTCCCCTGTCTGCACCACAACCATCTCTTTCGTCCTCAGTCTCCCTTCTATCTCATAAGCTTCCTGGCAACAGAAACCACACATGCCAATCAGGAATTTGAATCCCCAGTTCCTCCCGAGAGCCTGGGCTGTAACAGAAGAACTGTGAGTATTTCTGAAGGTCCGTCTGTGATCAGATTCAATGCTGGCTGGCCCTGATCTGCAGTGTCAGGCTGGACCCCACGATGTGGAAGCTGGCAGAACTGGTCATCCACCTCACATGCACATAGGCCCCCAGACCACTGCTCAGGGGACACAGAGCATCGGTGCCCCTCCTGGTAACAGTTTACTTCCCCATCCTTCCCGCAGTGACAGATGCCCCAACCGTGACCTCAAGCCCCATGCTCTGCTTCCCAACCTGGGACTCTCGCAGACTGTCCGTTTCAGCACCAAAAGAGGATGCTGTTCTAGACTCCACAGGAGACATCAGTCACATGTCTCTGATGACGGATGGGCCTCCAGATATGGGCCCTGAGCCACATAACTGCATCATTACAACAGTGACAATGTCTTCAGGCCCTAAGGTCCATCCATTCATTGCCAGGGACAGGATGGTGAGGTTTGGACGTGGAGACATGATGAGTCTGGGGTCTGTCTTGCAGTCCCGGTGGAGACCAAGGTGTCGGGGCAGCTCAGGGAGAGGCGGTGCTCCCCTCATTGCCCCTTGATTAACCATCATAGTGGAGACGTTCTGATCTAAAGATTAGAGCAATCAATCACTAGCTGCGGCCAGGGACAAGTACGTAGGCATTTGCTGATTAGGAAGGTCCATTGTGTGAGTAGGTATGGGTGAAGCAGGGACCGTTCTGCAGGGGACATACAGAGAGCAAGAAAACTGCCATCTTGGGGGGGCCTGACCATACAAGCCTCCAGGCCAGTCCTGAAGCCAGGCCTCCTGATGGAAGCCACACCAGCTCTCTGCGGGCAGTGCCACTTTCTGAACGCACACTTGGCTGCCACGAGGGACTAGTGTAGGAGGAGCGGCTCACTACAAACCAGCCCCTCTACGGCTCCTCTGAATCAACAGTGCTCACGGAAGGGCGGACAGTCCATGGCAAGTCTACCAAAACAGGCACAGCGGAGCTATACACACAGCCGTCCCAAAACCTAAGGCGAGAACTGCAAAAAGGAGGGAAAGCCGGACACGGTTTTGTAAGTCTTCTTTGGTTGCAACACACACACTCTACGTCACGGGTTGTACTGTGTCCCCAGGAAAGATATATTGAGGTTCCAACCCCCAGGACCTCAGAATGTGACCGTGCTTGGAAACAGGGTCACTTTGCAGATGTCATTATTTCAGATGAGGTCATCCTGGAGTCCAGTGGGCCCCTCATCAAATCGACCTCGTGTCCTTATGCGACGACAGCCATGTGGAGATGCGGTGACGCAGGGAGGACTCCACGTGAAGATGGGGCAGGAGTGGTGACACCTACAAGCCGAGGACACCAAGGACCGCCTGGAAGGGAAGCAGGAGGGAGGCCGGCACAGACTCTCCTCACGGTTTCCAAAAAGGCTCGACCCTACTGACACCTTGATCTCATCCTCCAGCCTCCAGAAGACAGAGACGATGGATTTCTGCTATTTTAAGCCACTTTGTTTGTTGAACTTTGTTATAACAGCCCTAAGGGGAAAAATCCTATATTCCAAAAACTTTCCATTCGGTGGTGAAATTGTAGTTTCAGCTTAGAGGCAAAGTATTCTTTATTTTTCTCTTTCTTTTTAAGTCAAAAGGCACAATTTAAAATGAAAACCTCAAAGAACTTAGTTTTCTCAACAGTAATTAAACCCATCTCAGGCTTCAGTATAAATAAAAGCCTTTCAATACTCCAGAGTGGATAAACAACAAGTTCATACTGTACAGCACAGGGAACTATACTCAGTATCTTGTAGTAACTCACGGTGATAAAGAATATGAAAATGAATATATGTATGTTCATGTATGACTGAAGCACTGTGCTGCACACCAGAAACTGACACAACATTGTAAACTGACTACACTTCAATAAAAATACTCCACAGTGGAAAAATTGGCTGAGGGATGGGTGCTGCACACCAGAAACTGACACAACATTGTAAACTGACTACACTTCAATAAAAATACTCCACAGTGGAAAAATTGGCTGAGGGATGGACTGTAGTTTTTCAGACTCACTTAAATCTGCTTTGAAAACATTCTTTAAATGAAAAGTCACCCTATCTGTAGTTTCTAGTATAAAATTTCTTATGACTGTGTTCCATGTTGGTCTCAATTCATAAAACGCTATTACATTAACTCATCAGCACAAACACGATCATTAAAATAAGGTTACCACATTGTACAGAATGCAGCAATACACACAGTGAAGTTCAACGTCCTATCTTACATTTCCTTCTTATGCAAACAAAGACTGAGGAACAGGTACTGTGAGATTTCCACCTGTTTACACTCATGATACTCCATCAGTCAGATAACCTATCAAAAATAATTCTTACCTAATAAAATAAAATTAAAACTACATATGGATGCATAGAACTCTTTACTGATGATCTTGTTTTCTTCATTTTATTTTTTTATTAAAGTACAGTTGATTTCCGATGCTGTGTTAATTTCTGATGTACAGCATAGTGATTCAGTTATACACATATATATATATTCTTTTTCATTATAGGTTATTATAAGATATTGAATGTAGTTCCATATGCTATACAGTAGGACCTTGTTGTGCGTCTATTTTATATGGAATAGTTTCCGTTTTCTTCTCGAAAGCCCTTGAAATAGAATCGTGTTCCTAAAAGATTGTTTAAAACATACGTCTGGGGCAGGGCTCTAATTTTCAAAAGAGATGCCTCTATCATTGAATTGTCACATAAAATACAGAATGCTCAATAAGATTTGAATTTCATATCAACAATAGATTTTTTTCAGAGTAAGTATGTCCCACGCAACGTCCGATGCATAATTACACTAAGACATGATTTGCTGTTGATCTGAAATTCAAATATTAACTGGGTGTCTTACACTTTTATGCCCTAATTCTAGCAACCTTACCGTGACAGTAGAGCTGGACAGCTGAGTCGCTCTCCTAAGTACACTCCACAGATGTAAAGGAGCTTTTGATCCAGGACAAGGCGTATTAGCACCAGAATTATGTCCCACAGAGCCTGAGGTCCGCTGATACTGGTTCACTCAAGGCCGGCATTGATGCCTTCTCTCCAAAGAAAACAAAGCAACTTAAGTTCAAGCACGAGTTTCCTTTGCTTTTCTATCAAATTCCTAGAACCAGCCCCATAAATCTGCAGTTGACCCTTAGCATGTGAGAGGAGCAACGCTTTCTCTGACTAAGGAAATACTGGTCATTCTTTGAATGGATGACTTCGGGGTCTCTTCTAAGAGTACCTGAAGCTGTTTCTCTACTTTAATTAATTTTTTCAAAGAATCCTTATAAATTTCTGAAGTGGGTGTTCTTGAGGCTCTGTAGCTGCCGAGAAGAGGTTGTAAGTGGGTACCCCCATCCAGATTAGGTCTGACAGAGTCCAGACCCATTTCCACTTATTGTAAACTTCCCTCTCTTGTCCTGCTTACTGTATAACGTACGACCACAAATTGAAAGGTTCAGACATTCACTGCCACAGTTCTATGGGTCAGAAACCTGGGAGCAGCTGAGTGGGATTGTCTACTGCAATCAAGCTGGGGGTCCGGGGCTGCGTTCCCATCTGGAGACTCGACCAGGGAAGAATCCACCCCCAGGCACACTCAGGTCACCGGCAGACTTTATTTCCTTGGGGTCGTAAGTATGAGGGCCCTGGCTGGCTCCTGGCTGGAGGCTGTCCTAGGCTCCTGGAAGCCCCCTTTAATTCCTTGTCACAGGGGCTTCTTCCACATGGTCACTTATTTCATCTCATCAGCAAGGAGAGACTCTGGAGTGCCTGCCAGCAAAACAGAGTCTAATAAAATGTAACATAATCACAGAGCAGAGAGCCCATCACGTCTGTCGTACTGTACTGGTTAGAAGCAAGGCGCAGCTCTTACCCAGACTCAGGGGAGGGGACCAGACAAAGCGGGGAGAACCAGGAGGAGGATTAAAACGCTCAGCCCTCAAGCTGTAAGTCTGAAGAGCTGCTAAAACTTCTTATTGTGGGCAGGAGGTGGGAGCAGAGCACATGCTTAGCATGCACCAGGTCTAGTCTCTCCATTAAAAAATCATCTTATTTTGGATTCCAAGTACAAGTAACAATACTAAAGAATATGTGTATTATCTTTGGTGTTTTCTACCGTCCTTGTAAAATTACCAACCCTTAGAGAACTTCTTTAGTTGCATATTTTCAGAAGGACCACAGGCCCCAGAGTCTGACACAGGAATTTAAAAGGGACCAGGCTATAGATAAAGATTTCACCAAAAAAAACCAGTTCCAGTCCCAAGACTGCATTTCCTCAGGTGCCTCCTCCCCCACGCTGGTGTTCAGAATCCAACAGCAACATCAACCTGGTGGCCCCAGTGAGGACGGGGGCTGGGCACAATTTTGCTGATAAAAATCTTGGCAGCAGGTTGACTTCCTCTCACTTCTGCAGGAGGTGCACTCTGATCTCCTCTGACTTTCGTGTGGTCCTCGGGACTCTCCATCACAGTGATGGGCATCAGGTCCTCAGTGGGGAAGACATCATAGTGGAGGCAAAGAAGGGACAAGAGGTGAAGGCAGCCACGGCTAGGAGGAGCTCAGAAGGACAGCAGCAGTCTCTCCTGCACCGCTCCCCGTCCCCTGGTTGGCCCCTCTGTCTGGAACTTGTCCTCTGCCCCTTGGCGTCCCTGGCGTCTCCCAACTTCTAGGGCTCTGCTTGAACGGCAGCTCCTCAGAGACGCTGCCTTGAACACGTGGGCCAGAGCAGCCCTCCAGCACCGCAGGTTAGCCTCGTCACTCGGATCTGCCTCCTTCCCAGCACTTACCTTGGTCCCGGAAGCAAACTCATTCCTCTTTTATGTTGTTATCTGTCACTGGACTCACTCCACATTACCTCATGCACAGTGGGGTCCCCAGCAGCACTTAGGAGCCTCCGGTGAGTATTTCTGGATGAATGAACACATGGAACAGAGCCTTCATCCAAAACCTGGCTGATGGCGGCTTCAGAAAGGATGGCTGGTGGCAGCTTCTAAGTGCCAATGCATCTGTTTCAAGTCACGTCCCACATCTGCCTCCTGACT